CATATTATAAGGTAAGGTTATAAAACCACCTTTTAAGATCATTTTAGTGAAAGTTTCATGTTCCTATCTCATAGAATTTAAGAACAATGATGAATAAATAATTTTCGAGCAAAATTTAAATGGCCGGCTGAATATATTACCGCAGGAGCCGCGGCCGCGGAATTTAAATGACCACGTCAAAGGGTTAATCACATCTGCCATAAGAGTAGGCAATGCAGTGTGCTGGGAAAAGAAATTTCCAACCTCATCTACATCACCTACAAACTTTTTCTCAAATATTTCCATACGGGAACTAAATGGGTTGACACAGCTGTAATGCTCATAACCTGTGGTCTGAGGTTGTCAACTCAAATCTTAACCAGGGAATCAGATATCCTGCCATGGTTTCTGTTTTCTTTTTCTGTCCCTCCAGGCAAATTCTGGGATTGTACCTCATTTGGGCCACTACTGCTTCCTTCCTAATCCTTTCCAGATTACTGCTCGTCTACCCATTCAATCGGCGCTTTCTGTCTAGCTACTTTAAGTGTTATGAAATACACAGGGCAAATAGTGTTTCTCACACTTTCTGTATAAAAGCCATTCAACATTAGTTCCATATGACATGTTTATAAACACTAAATAATGCACTTCCACTGTTTTCCCCAGTGCGACAGTCAAGGAAACGTGAATCCAGACATCTACTTCCCCATATGCCTTCAGGGTATAGTGTTTAATTAGGTCCTCACAGGGATAACTTTACCTATAAAAATATCACCATTTTTAATGTACACTGCAACACAACCACAAAAGGATATTATTGAACTTTTGGAGCATACAGTAAATAATTAGGTACAGAATTTGTTTAGCTTTGTATTGTCTTTCTGTTTGTTTGTTATGTTTGTGACCAGTTTCATGTCCATTGTATTTTGCACTTGTGAAATGTGAAATATATGTATGTATGTGTATTAAAATTGACTTCAATTTTCAAAGCAAAGTATAGCTACAATGAATTGCAATGTCACGGTACAAATACGTATGCCGGAAAGCTCAAATTCAGGTCATGGAATATAAACATGACACATGAAATATTCCTCTTCAAATCTGTCAGTTATAACTGTGAAAGTTTCCCGAGTCCATGGCAGATTTTCTCTCTGGTTTAACTGTAAATACAACCCCACCTCCCTCAGTAATATTATATATGTATATTTCCCAAGATTGGTGCAGCGAGTTTATTTAAATGTTATACACCATGCACTGTCTTAACATATGCTTTCATAGTTACATGGGCTTAAGTGGGACACCAGTATGCCCTAGTGTGTGCTTATGACTATATCGGATGTGTTTTCTATTACTACACAGGGAAGAACTAGCCATATTCACAACATCCAAGGGATATGCCCACGAACAGCAGGCCCGAAAGATGGCTGAGTAAAAATGTCATGTGAAGTAACTTTGCACTAAATAGGGGCTTTCAACGTATTTTCCTGAAAACACGTCTTCATACATGCTGCGCAGTAACATAATGTTTCACTAGGTAACCGTTTGCTCACACACATATTGCATAAACCAACTACATTTTTTTACAAATTCCCTTTTACCAACTGCTCATGCCTGCAACGACTGCAACAAATGGATGCTTGCAGTATCTGAATGTGTTTGGTGATTGGCATGGTCACATGTTGGACTCTTCATTTATTGTAATACTCTTAAAATTATCTTGATGAACTAATAAGGTTGGCTTGCATTTCAATTTACATATTGTACCTAATTTGATTATTTATCTGGTTTGATAGTGTTATATTTCAATTACATGTTAACCATGTGAAGTGCGATTATATGCATATTGTTGATAAATTTGTTTATGCCTTTAGGCATTTGGACAAAAGGGTTTCAAGAATGATGTATTTAATGATGTGACTTGTTCCGAGTCTTACTGTTGTAGCAATTATGAATACCACATAAAAATGAAACGAAATGAATCCAGTACTTACTTTCCAAAGGAACCTTCACCCAGGGTTCGGGACAGTTGCCACCCAGCAACAAAATCCACGAGCGTATGTGATATTCCTCTTCACCACCTGTGAAAGAAACAAAAGTGCTTAATGAAACACAGAAAAATTCCAATACTAGAACTCTTAACTCTAAAGGCTGTAATACTGTAATACAAAATACTTTATCATTCAATATTCACTGGCAGAAAACGGGGTAAGATACCGGCAGTTACTTTTACTGCCCAAGTTTGGTCTTATGTATTTTTTATTGTTATGTTCCTTTTAAAGGTCGTTATATTGGTGATAAATCACTGTGTAAATTTTATGTGACTTTGACACTGATGTATTCGCTATTATTATCTGACATGTCCAATTGTATTCACTTCAATTATGGACTAAAATAAAGTTGAAGTCCCTTTACTAACACACAGGCTTCTTCGGCTGCATCATGAATACGACGTATTAATGAAGATATATAGCCTTTTACAGATACTATAGTAATTTCACTCGAATAAATAGGGTCCTCGACTAAAAATATTATCTACAGAGCGTCAGCTGTCACATCCAACACGTAGTTGTCAAGACCACAGATTTTTTAGGACAGAAGAGGGTAAGAGATGCCTCAGGGCATTAGACAATTTTACTAATAAATTGACCTACTAATTACCTAAATTCTTACCTTTATGCGTTCACTTATTTTTTTCTATTTCTTCTGTGTTAATTATCTCGCAGAAATAACACTCAAGCCACAAGAGAGGTAAAAATTTGTGCGGAACTTCAGCTCAACGACCCACATTCGAAACAAACCGTTACACTATCTAACCGATCTAACCCCCAATTCACATTTTGGGACCGGGGCCAGCAAAATGGCGACTTTCAAATCACATGGAGTCAGATACCTTACTAAAGAGCTGACTTTGAGATAACAAACGAGAAAATGTAGAGCATATTCATTATGTTTACAGTTCGAAGAAAATAGGTATTACTCCACAACAGGTATGAATATACTAATTTTTCACACTGATAAACATAAACAGCATGACTTCAGTAGTATAAATTGACTGTTTCTCAAATCAGCTGCGATGGCCTACTAAAGTCAATGTGTCAATGCTATGAAAATAGTGTTCGTCACATGTATTATATTTTTGGACATTATCCATCGTCTTGTTTCTTTTTGAAAACACAACCTACCCAGTTGGGTCCAATACGTCCAACAGACAAAGCTCAACAATATGATGGATAATGTCCAGAAATACTGTATACTACTTGTAGCAATATACCAACTGTTAGATCTTTTATTGTTGAGACCACCATCTGAAATTATTTATATTATAGCCGTATATATCAAACATGAATCATTTTAAAACTTCTTGTGTGAGAAGTAACATGCATATTTTTGAAAAATATGTACACTCTTAATTATTTTTTCTAAGTGCACTGGCATTCGTAGAACAGAGGGTAAAAACAAATTACTTTAAGAATGCTTTTTATGTCAACACGCAATGACCAAATTGTCATGTGGAGTTCTGGTTGTACGGAATACCAACTACCGTGAATTACTATTTCCTTCCGATCCAAGCTACGACTTTCCACGGATCAATACAAGCACTCGTCGCAGTGGTATTACGTTCCATCTATAAGAGATGCTTACATTTTATAGCACTAATTCCGGCTTCGATAGTTTAGTTGCCTGAAAAATTCTCTACTATTCCTTGGGATCGCTCGGACTTAACAGAGTTTTTACACTCTGGACGTTATCAGGTACCCTATAGAACTATAGATCACTGGGTTGTTACGTCGATTAGATGGAGCTAACTTCAGTTACTGTGTTATATTAGAATACATAGTCTCACAAATCAACTGCATAATGAGCTTCATAGCTGTAGTCTTCACCAAGTATAATTAGAATGATCGAGTTAAGGAGGAGGTGAGGGGGTCATGTAGCACGAATGAGGCCATTGGAAAGGCCAAGGTGTAGGTGGGTGGACAATATTAAAATGGATCTTAGGGAGATAGGATGGGATGGTGTGGATTGGATTGATCTGGCTCAGGATAGGGACCAGTGGAGGGCTCCTCTGAACACGGTAATGAACCTTTGGGTTCCATAAAATGATGGGAAAATCTTGAGAGTTGCACAATTGGCAGCTCCTCCAGAAGGGTTCAGTAAGTAAGTAAGTGTCACAAAGCAAATTCAAATTTAGTAAACATACAAAGAAAGCCAATCCAATTATGAGCCCATGTAAAAGTAAAAGTGAAGTAAAGCTATCCCTGTAACAGGCCATGAAGACCCATAGGTTTGTGAGACGGTGAGGGTTCCACATGATCGAGACAATCAGCTCAAAAATGGCGGTAAGGTGGTCATCCGCACTTTACTCCCAAGTAAAATTATTTAATTAATTCCTGGTACTCATTTGTGTTAGAGGCTGAGTCAACTGGAAGGATTAGGTCAACTGAAAAAGAAACGACCTCCTCAGGAATTGAACTCACGACCTTCCTGCTGGTAGCACAGTGCCTCAACCAACTACGCTACGGTGTGCCNGGTGTGCCCCCCCTGAGGCCATTTAAGTATGAAAAATATCCCCCTACTTGTTATTTTACAACAGCATGGAAGCTCTTCTCTTAAATTCTAATGCTTCTTCGGTATCCCCATAACATTCTGCTGTCTCTCTGTGATTAATGCTGAAGCTGAAACTAGTGACCACAGACTGCGGTGAGAGAATTTTTCTTGGATCCTCAGAAACATCAGATCTCGCACAGCCAATCAGGTTTACAATGAGCTGACAAGACAAGACACAATGAGTTGAGTCCAAGTTTCACTCCAAGCCAGTGAGATGGGAAGGTGGTCACATCTGTATCACCCCCCAGCTCTGGACCAAAGGGTATGGGGCTATGTCAGAATACAACAGAACACATTTAGAAACACAAAAGATTCATTCACATACACAGCCACACTGTGAGTAACTGTACAGTAACTCTGCTGTACGTTCGGACACAGCAAGGNGGTGAGAGAATTTTTCTTGGATCCTCAGAAACATCAGATCTCGCACAGCCAATCAGGTTTACAATGAGCTGACAAGACAAGACACAATGAGTTGAGTCCAAGTTTCACTCCAAGCCAGTGAGATGGGAAGGTGGTCACATCTGTATCACCCCCCAGCTCTGGACCAAAGGGTATGGGGCTATGTCAGAATACAACAGAACACATTTAGAAACACAAAAGATTCATTCACATACACAGCCACACTGTGAGTAACTGTACAGTAACTCTGCTGTACGTTCGGACACAGCAAGGACATATAAGTTTATAAGTTTATTTGTTGTTTACAACAAAGATAAATTCAAATTAAATTCTAATGTCTATAACATGAATACTAGACAAAAATATGACTTCCACCTACCCTCATCAACTTTATCAGTATATCAAAAAGGAGTCTACTTTACTGGCATAAAAGTGTTCAACAATCTGCCACAAAGTATTAAAAACTTGGGCAATGATACTAAAAAGTTTAAATCAGAGTTAAAGAATTATCTACATGCTCATTCCTTCTACTCTTTAGATGAATACTTCAATGTAAATAGAGAATGATGTAAAATTAAGTTATATTAATTTTTAAGCTAAAATTGCCTGTACTTATGTATGTAACCTTTTGACTTGTTCTGTATCCAAAGGTACTAACCTGCTTAGGATTTATAGAATGTAAATAAATTCAATTCAATTCAATTCAATTCAATGAAGTACAGTCAGGAACGACTACACTTAGCATGACATTTCTTAGTAGTACAGGCAACAACACACTTCGATACAGTTCACATATAGAAATGTGTACATAAATTTGTTGCAATTGGGCACATGATTGCAATCAGTCAAACACTTATTAGAAATTTTATTTTAGCATTTTCCTGCACTAGTTTAATCACCGTGTGGCTGAAGCATGTTGACCATGGGAGGATGTGCCCAATGACTAGTGAAGTTGCATTTACTCGAAATAGGAATTAATCTGCAAGATAGAAGTTCCCAATCAAAATAACTCTGTTTAGTGATATCTTGTATTGTTCACTTTTGGTCAATAAACACTTAATTTTTGGTGCAAGATGGGGTATAAAACTTTGTTCCAGCATGCTATACTACCTTCTCGTGTTTACAAGAGCTCAGATCTTCTCCCTGTCCTCAGCAAGGTCTGCCAGCTGACACCCTACCATCCTGTTTCTTCAAGATAAATTTTTAATGCTATACTCCCACTGCACATGGGTTTCCTACCAAAAACTCTTGCCTCCAATTTTCCTGCCAAAGTATGTATGTGTTTCCCTTCTCTCCTGTCTGTGATACATATTCTGATCTTCTGACTAATATCTGGCAAGGAGTACAAATCATGAAGTGATTTTCTCCAGTCTCTTTATTACTTCACCCCTCTTACAATCAAATATCCCCCTCAGTAACCTTGTTCTCAAATAAATTCATTCCATGTTCATCTCTTGTGATGGACCAAGTGACATACTTCACTACATTAGATAATGGACCACAACTCACTGTGAATAAGGCTATCTCTAGCTAGGAATGAAGGTCACATGTTACAGGTAGTAATGATGCTATCCTCTATGAGGTTGGCCGAACTAAGGCTGTCTCTTTGGTGGGGACGCGTCATGGACGAGGGATCCGTTGGGACACCTCCTTGTGGTCCTGCTAGGCAACGACACTCTTGGGGTCTGTATCAGTATGACCTACTGGGACTGGCAGCTAAGTTCCCATAAAGGGCAATGGCATCACGACTGGAGCCTCCCACACGGCGGCATAATGACTCTTGGGTATCGCTACGGTCTACCCAGGATGAATGCAGGAGAGCACTCCTATGGGGGTAGTTTTGGCTACTCCCTAGAGTACTGATAAGGTGCCGCAAGCCTTAGGGCTCAACACTCTAAAATGGTTTGACCAACCCATGTGGAGGGTTGGGAATATGGGGAACTTATATGCCACCCCAAGGGGCAACTCCTTCATGAGGGTTTCCCTGGTTGCAACCTCATAATTAGCTGGTATCGCACTCCCACTGATCATCTGGGATACCCCTTCCCACCGAATGGGGGCTCTGGTT